TGTTATGCACCTATTTAAATATATATTTAGCAAATTTGTTTTTAAAAAGTTTACTTGCATGTTAGTCAAATATACATGTAAGTATGTATTTTGCTATAAAATATACTTAATCTACTCTAGCTATATATGTAAAAATCTGCTTTTTCAGAAGTATTACTGAAAAATCACAAAGTGTTTTTTGAGGATAAGGGCGTCTCTTACACAGGAGTACCATTCATTGTTTCATCAAATATTACTCTCGACTGTCAACATGGCAAGGACAAAAATATCAAAGCTAAAGCTCTGTATAAAGTTAAAAAAAACTCAGAAGCAGTAAGTTATTTTTTCAGATCTGGTAACAAACTGGTAAACTCTTAAGTTTATTTATTATTTATTTTCTGTTTATTTTTGCTATTATTAAACCATAATGTTTTCTATCCAATTTAGTGCAATAATTTTCTCATGTTTCACTATTTATGTTTAGAGCTTAGATCATTCCTGCAAAAAAAAAAAGAATGACTCTCCAGGTTACCAAGAAATTTGATTGTCTTGCCAAAGTTTATATCAAAAAAATAGTTGAATTTTCCGAATATAAGGTTTTGTATTCTTAATTTCGATAAATAGTTAACTTTTAATATGCGCGTGCGTTTGTTATATTTATAACAATTTTGAATATGCATGTAGTTATGTAAATATTATTTAGCTGTATAGAGATTCAACTTGGCTAAGGAAAGAAATTTCAAAAAAAAATTACGTGCATTTTTAGCTTTAAAAAATACAGTTTTAATGTGCAGAAAATTAATTCCTGCGTTTTCTGCTCGTCAAAACCACCTTATTGGTGATGTAAGAATGCTATTAAAATGACTCTACGATTGCATTTTGTTATTGCTAATGTTTATTGTTAGTATTTTCTACTTTTTTCTAATTATTAGGAAGCAGGTCTTAATCAACCTTTATGGGAAGAACTCATTAAAATTAGTGAGTTGGTCAATAAGAGTGTCAATTCTGTTTCTGAAATGAGACGTCGTCTAGCTGCTTTTATTCAGGAGGAATTTAATTTAAATAACAATCTTTAGAAGACAAATAAACTTTTTTTCCAAAGGGATGATACAGTTGCAAATTATATATTGAGAGCTAGGCGTAAGCTTCGAAGATCATTTATAGATCAAGAATGTCTTTTGGACAAGATTAATGAATGGAAAATATTCTTTCCAGATGCAACGATCAAATTTAGACCCAAGGGAGGATATAATTCAGAAGAGAATGATGTAGATCTTAAAAATTTTAAGATGTATGGCAAAAGATACTACTGCTACGATATGGTAACGAGCTTGCCTTCCTTGATGCTACATACCGAACAACAAGATATGCACTGCCTTTCTTTTTCCTTTTGTTAAAACTAACATTGATTACCAAATTGTGGCTATTTTTGTGTGTGAGCATAAGACCACTGAAGCTATAACAGAAGCACTTATGCGCATCAAAGAATGGAATCCTTCATTCCAGCCAAAGTTCTTTTGTTCTGATTATTCAAATGAAGAAATAAATTCACTTGAATCTGTGTTTCCAGGTTATAATTGTTATTGTTAGTTACCTTTTTATATATATATATATAATATATATGATTTTTTTTAAAACAAGCTTGGGTATGCTTAAGTTGAAAAATTTAAGAGGCTCAAAAACATGCTCAAGCCTAAGCATGTAAAAATATAAGAAATGCTTAATTTAATACTTAAAAAAAAACAGGTGTATGTCTTGCTTACAAGTTTACTTGTAAGCAAGACATATGAAAAGCTTATTTCAAGCTTGTTTCTTGCCTAAAGGCAAATTTGTAAGCAAGAAAAATAATGTTATTCTATTATAATACACATATATAGATTTAATGCATAAATACAAATTTTACTTTGAATCACAGAAAACATTAAATGGTTTTCATTCATTTAAAACTTTCAGCATCTTATCTTTTTTTAAAAATCGAAGTCTCCATAAGCTTATAAGCGTTATAGCCTTGCAAAAATATATACAGTGGTAGCAAATGAATTTCTGTTATTTAATTACGATGAACTCTCTTTTTAAATTAGATATTTTGAAATGATTTATTGTCATTGCTTGTAATTCATAATTGTTTATATAGTTTAAATATAGTAATTTATCTTAGGCTGTAAAGTGTTTATATTTAATTTTCATCGCGAACAAGCGTGGGAACAATGGCTGTCTAAAACAACTAATGGCTGTAGCATGATAAAGGATGACATTAAAGTTAGGCTTCGTGACATTGCACATGCGAAAACAATAGAGGGTTTCCAAAAAGCTGTTGAGAATTTAGAGGAATCACTAGAATGGCAAAATAATGCAAAACTTGTAGAATATTTGAAAAGCACTTGCAGGGTTGCCACTTAACCTGGAAAACCTGGAATACCTGGAAATAGCGTTAATCCCAGGAAAAATTCAGGGATTTTTTAAAATTTTCATAAAATTCAGGGAAAACTCAGAGAAAATAATTTTTCAAGATATGGGTGTTGTTGTAAAAGTTTTAGTTTGTTAAATATAAAGATTGTGTTTAATTAAGGAAAATAATAATCTTGTTGATGAACAGGAAAGAATATAGAAAAGTCAGGGAAAAGTTAGGGAAAACTCAAGGAACTTAGAGAGTTCAACTCAGGGAAAAATGTTCTTTACTCTGAGAAAACTCAGTGGAGAGTCAGGGAAAAACTTTAAAAAATTATAGTGGCAACCCTGACTTGGTTATGTATTCAAAAGGTTGTTTCTAAATAACAAAAACAAAAAAAATTTATATTAAAAAAAGTTGATGTAACGTTGTTATTGAAAAATTTTTTATATTGTAATTTTTGGGTATTACCTTAACTTTATTTTTTTAATTATATTACTGAAGGTTTACAAACATTTTTTCGATTTCAGAGATGGGTATTTGCTTATAGACTAGATCGAATTATTCTGCTGAATGTCAACACCAATAATGGAACTGAAAGGCAGAATCAATCTTTCAAATACATTTTTTTGGAAAAAAGAAAGAATTTTTTACTAACAGCTACGCTCAGTATTTGTATAGAAGAATTTCTTCCGCTCAAATGACAAGTTAGTTGATACATTAACTACTTTTTGTTTTTTCAGTACAAATAACTTTTATTTTATTTTTTAAGACATTATTGTTATTCTAACAATATTTCCTCCAATGGTTTTGTTTGTGAAATTTTATTTTAGCTCATTCTGTTTACCTACTATAAAACTAATTTCCTAGGTTTTTAATTTGAATATTTAATTATTAAAAACTTATGATTTTTTGAAAGCATTGTCATAACTTTCTTGCAATAAAAGATTAGTAAATTATAAATCTGTAGATGAATTTGAATTTATTACAAGAATGTTGAAAATTTATCACTTTGAATCCATAATTTTTATATATGTCTAGCAGAAATAAATTGTTTCACGTATAACAAAATTTAAAAACATGGTGAATAGAATCTGACTTCGGTACTGTATGTTTGTCCAGTTACCTGGTAAATAAAACTTTAAAAACAATAACTTACAAACATATTTTTTTTAATGCCTGAAGGTTGTCTAAATGTCACTGATAAAAGGATTTGTAGATTACCTACATTTCAATTGATTTATTTTATAATTGTTACCTTGGCGATTCAGAACACTTGCCAACTTGTTCATGTCCTAATTGGTTTCGCAGCTTATATCTTTGTAAGCATTTATTTGCCATTTTTATTAAAGATAATCTCACATGGTCTGCATTTGGCACCTCGTATGCTCCTTATTTCATACTGGTTTTATAATAATATTATAAAACCAGCATGATTCTACCACCTATAATTCTCCTTATTTCATGCTGGTTTTGTTGTCAGATGAAATTATTTTAGCACAATCCAATGACATTTTGTTACAAAATATTCATTTTTGACATACAGCACCACGTACTGACTTGGCTATATCTCTACTTACTAAACAGAATGTAATGGAAACAAAAAGCATTCATTGCCCACAAGTAAATAGTAGTCATGGTCTGATTGGTGAGGACCATATATCTGCAACTTGTCATGAGCTTTTAAGTGAAATGAGACAAATGAGTTTTTTATGTCAATCGCAACAAGCTATTGATGATTTGTTGGAAGGGCTACGTCAACTTAAAAAAAATTTAGCAGACAGTCTTCCAACAGTAAAAGGAATTCTGCTGTGTCCTGAGATTCAACCTGATACTTGGATTAGGTCACTAACTAATACACCTAAGCTTAGCCATATCCCTATGCGCCACAAAAGAAAAATGACTAAAAGAGTTGCAGTTAAATACGACATTTGTAAAACAGCCACAGACATTAGTGTAATAGCTAAAAAAGATACAACAGTTTCTGAGGTTGTCACAAATGATTTGATTGATTTTGACAATTGTGATACTTTTACTGTTTCTAATAATGCAACTAAAATTATTAATCTTTCAACCGATGATAGTAATCACTCGCATGACGCCAACATAATCAAAGATGATAAACTAAAAACCATTCAAAGTTTAAAGTCTTCATTGATTGGAAGTATAGAACAGTATGACACTTCAAAGGGGCAGAGGCTTAATGATAATGTGATTCATTTTTTTTTTTTTTTTTCATTTAGCAGCTAATGTCACTTCAGTTAAATATTGATGCTGGTCTGCAAGATTCTATTAAAGGACAAGTGTTATCTTTCCATATCTATCCAAGCACGCCATTTGTCCAAATTATTCATGATAGAAATCTTCACTGGCTATGTGTGACCACATATGATTGTAAACCAGGGAAGATATATATATTTGACAGCAGTGTCGGATTTAGGTTTAGTGTCGCGGGGGGGCCAAGTCAATATATAGGGGCGACCAGGGTTGCCTTCAGTAATTTAATCTTATATATATATATTTTTTTAAATTGTTTTAGGGGGCGCCGTTAGACCGTTCTAGAGAGGCGTGGGGGGGGGGGGGCAGATCGCCCCCCCCCCCACGCCCTATACTAAATCCGCCACTGTTTGACAGCCTTTTCCATGGTTCCATTAGCTTGCAGATAAAAAGACAAATATGCTCCATTTTACATTGTCAACAAAAAAAATCTTGTTTTCAAAGTTTTGCCAGTTCAACAGCAAACAAATGATGTGGATTGTGGAATTTATGCCATTGCATGGGCTCGTCAGATTCTTGAAACAAAAAGTATACCATCAACAAATCTGATGTTTGGTCAAAGTGAAATGAGAAGTCATCTCCTGAAATGTATATCAAACAACAGGATGGAGATATTTCCAGCCACTAAAAATCCTTCTTTGTTTAAAAGATGTAATGCTAAGACTTTTCGCGTTCCTCTGCATTGCTCATGTCGCATGTTTTGGATACCTGGAGACGAAGACATATTTAACAGGTATATTTTCACAATTACTAATGAGTTTAGTTCATAAATAAAAATTTACAAATGGAATGTTTAATTGATATCTTGATTTTAACAAGTTTTTTATGTTGTAGATGGAAATGTATTTAATTTTTTAAGGCAAATGGCACAATGCTGTGTTAGTAGTAAATGGTTTCATCGTGATTGTGAACAAATTCCACCAAGTGCCTGTGAAAAGGAAGACGAAATTTGGATTTGTCATGATTGCCAAAACCAATCAAAATATTAATAGGGAAAATTTTTTTAATACTATTCTACAGCACAAATAAATATATTTTTTTTATTACTAACTACAAATGCTGTACAGTTACGTTTCACTTGCAAATATCATTTACATTTGTTCAATATTAGAAAATTCAATAAAATTGTTCAATTTTTAACTTAACCCGTCTATACTAACATTAATAAAAAAAACAACTTGATAAGAATGGATAGGGTGGTTATAAACAATAAATAACCGTAATTTTGACATTTGTAATCTTGTTTTATATACATTTTATTTATTTGTAATGTACACACTCCTCAAAAAGAGCCTGCTATGCAACATACCTACAAATTTCTATTCGTTAAATGCATTGCTGATAAAGTAGTACCAACAATGGTATTGCACAATACCAATTATATATATATATATATATATATATATATATATATATATATATATATATATATATATATATATATATATATAATATATATATATATATATATATATAAGTAGTTAGGAAATGCCGATTCTGGCTCATTTTTATTATCATTTCTAGCTCATTTTCATTTTTAACCATATTTTCAACCATATATTAATATTAATATATGGTTCAATGTTATCCATGTTGTGTATAAATTATTTAGATAAGAAATAAAAATTTTCAATTTTTAAAAATGAAAAAAATTGAATTTTTTTAAAAAAGATAAATTTTTTTCTTGTTGAAAAATGTCACGTGATTTTCTTGCTGTTTCTTGTGCGCATGCGCTTAATTTTTTAATGAAATCTGGATCTCTTCGAGATCTAAGCATCGTAGTGTTTATGCATAGTAGAAGCATTGTCCTATTAGTGCAGCATAGCTCCCAGATTGACCAACTTGTGCATCACCAGAGTTGAGTGTCACTACCATTCTTCTACCACTACCAACGTTAGGCATACTTTCAGATGAATTAAAGTTTCTATAAAATGAAATTGTAGTTGTTGAACCAATTACAAAGCTTGATTGATTCAACAATCCTGATGCCTCATTATTAAATGAGCTTACATTAGATCCATTCCATGAAGAGAGATAAAAATCTTCTAAACCTGATGAAGCGTAGATGCATCGACTGTTAACATCATATCCAGAAAATGTAGTATATCCATTATTATTATAAGGTGTCCAAGGTTGAATGACTGAGTTAGTATTAGTAGGAGCACTATATCCATCATAGATGCAAACTCTAGATTCCCACCAGTCTCCAGATCCTCCAACAACATGCATTCTAATGTATTTCAAATACACTCCGTTTCCATTATCCATAACATTCATTAGCATATATTCACTACCATAAGTTGTATTTACATATCTAAATGTTGATGAGTACAACTTAATGGATGAGATGGATCGAGGTATTAGTGGATTAATACTAGTGCTTGTTGTAACGATGAAGTTCTTGTGATAAAAGGTTGTAACCAAAAGGTCACTGAATTTCCTGTTTTATTGTATAATTGTATATTCAAACTTGATGTAAAAGGAAGATCAAATGTAAAATATCCTCCTAATGCACTTGTACTAAATACATTACATCCTTGTAAAGAGTTTGCATAATAGGATCCACCAAGTGGTGCAACTAATAAATCACAAGCTAAAGCTGTATTATTAATACCTACCCCATCTGTTACAATAGAATCATTACCTATGCAAAGTACATTGTCAGCATATATTTTTAAAAACAAGTTACCTGGTACAGTATTAGGTGCAATAGTAGATCCTGTAAATGCAATCCACAGTTTTTTTAGAATTCCTGAACTACCACTATAGCTAAAAATGGTATATGATCCTGGAGTTGCATAGAATGCTTGAGATTTTTGTTCAAAGTATATTAAACTTGTATTTGGAATGATATCTAAACTTTGATTTTGCATATCATCAACATAGCTCTTTGTAACAGCATCTTGTGCATTAGTAGGATCAGCTACATTGATGAGTTTATTTGTATTTAAATTTATATTAGCAGTTGCAGGATTATAACCATCAGTTCTTAGATACATACTGCTAGAAATCTGATTATTATCTACATAATGCTTTGTAGCTGCATCCTGTGCATTAGTAGGATCAACTACATTGATAAGTTTATGTGAATTCAAATTTATGTTAGCACTCATACTATTAGTTCCATCTAGTTTTAGACATGCACTGCTAGAAGTTTGACTATTATCTACATAATTCTTTGTAGCTGCATCTTGTGCATCTGTAGGATCAGCTACATTGATCAATTTATGTGAATTCAAATCAACATCAGTAGTGGCTGTATTGCCAACATTAATGTTGATATTTAATCCATCTGTTGTGTAACCATACATTGAATTACTACCAGCTATATTCATACTCATTTTTTATATACTATATATATATTTTTTAATTCAATATAATGAATTTTCAATACTTTGAAAATCAACACCTTCATTTAATTTTTTTAATACATAAAGGCACAAGTGTCCGCAAAAAGAAGTGTCTCCAAACTGAATTCTTTTACTATTATAATAAATAGGACTGTGTAAATATTGAACAAGTTCAACTGGAGGTGGTAATGCATAAGAGTCAAAACTTAATTTTTCATCTCCATCTTTATACCAACAAATCCAATGAAATCCATTCGTACTTGAATCTCCAGTATTTAATATTCGACATTCTTTGTTTTGTGTATTTTTAGGTAATTCATCTCTTACAAATACACCTCTAAAATTTTTAATATTTAATTTTTTTGCTGCTTTTATTAACTGAGAGTTTGTTAAGGGTGCATTTGGCAATATAATTCCTTCAACATTGATATGTTTGTTCATTTTTATTAATAGTTTTTAGATTTTTTTAGATCTCTTTAGATATAAAAAAGTTACTTGCTTGCCTTCCTGTTTATTTTAGATCGCTTTTAGCGATCAATGCTTCGCTAGATCCCTTTAGGGATCAATAGGAACTAATTTATAATGACCGTATGCTAATGTATATATACCATCTTCTTGAATTACTCTTTTATCATCTTCTGCACTCAATGCTATTTTGTTTATTTCTTCTGTATAAACATCATGTAAATGAGATCTTATGACATTCATTTTTCTCATCTGTTCTTTTCTATTCATAAGACAATCTTTATAATCTTCATGTGTAATATAATTTTTTACTACATTTCTCTTTACTCCTTTACATCTCTTTTTATCTTCTTCATCTATTTTGTAAGAGTACAATTTTGATCTGAGTCCTATAAATTCTGCAATTTGTTTTCCTGCTAACTCATCTTTAAACATTCCTAATACTTTCTTATTTACACCTACTTTAAATCCATTTTGAACAGCTGGATGATCTTTATTAAATTCACTTGTATCAAATTTACTTTCAATGTCATTTGCAATATCTGCATAAAAGTCTTCTGTTTTTATTTCATAGATTAATGAATCTGTATCTGTATATAACAGTTTAGCTCTATCTTCATATTTATTTTTTATGTAATCATAATGAAATTCATATACTAAGGTCTTTCTTAAATCTAAAATACTCATACCCAAGTAAATAGGTTTGTTATAATATAGTTTTGTTCTTTTCATATGAACAGCTATTAAATTTTCATCAAATATTGTTCTACTTTCATAATTTGGTTTTGATGCTAATTTAATAGCTTCTTCTCTTTTAGAAACTAATCTCACATCAACCCTTTTTTCTATGTTCTCTATTGTCTTTCCAAATACTGAATTGTTCATAAGTTTGAAAAAGTCTTTTTCAAAATCATTAGTAGCTTTTGTTCTTAGATCTGTATTAAGATTAATGTATTTACTTAACCATGCACTTTCTTCAAACTTTATACCTCTATGAACTTTTGTTAATATCATTCCTAATCTTTCATAGAGGTATAAATTTTCATAATGTACTACATAATTTTTTTTATGGTTTAAATTGGGTACTAATTTATCAACTTTGTCTATTTTTAATCTTTCAGGGGCAAGTGGATAATCATTATGAACATCATGTAAATATTTAGGATATTCTAAATCTACTTCTAATATACATGAAAAAGATTTCCAATTTTTTAATTCTTCTTCATCCATCCATTCAAATCCATGTGTTGGAAGGGGTTTACTCATAGCCCATCCATATAAATTATTTGCATCTAAATACTGTATGTAAGTAGATTCTTTACTTTCATCATAATTTTCTATATATTTATTGTAAGCAGTTTCTATTCTGTTAGAAACCATACTAACTCCACCTCTTATTCCTTCCTTTATCATTAAGATCATATCATAATCGCTTAATAATTCTAAATTTACTTTTGTTATTTTTAACGCAGCATCCCAAGCTAATCCTGGTGCTGTAAAGTACCAAGCAGGATCTAATTTATAATTTTTTATACATACATTTCTAAAATTTTCAAAGACATGAGCTAATAATAATACATCTGCAATATTGTATAAATTGTGGTAGTCTTTAAATGTTTCACAATTAAACTCTTACCATACATTTTGAGCATGTAAATAATCTTCATCCCTTATTCCTTCATCATTTAATCTTGAATAAAATGATTCTTTTGGTGGTAATTGTGTTTCATTTAATTTATCAATAGAGTCAACCCATTCATAAGGGTAAACACCTTTTCTTAACAACAAATTTAATTTTTTATTTTCCAATTCTTTATAGTTTTCTTTTACAGAATTTTTTATTAATGAGTCTAAACTAGAAGCCATAAATCTATAGCTATCTAGAAAACGTAGATATAGTTTAACTTCAACTTTTTTCTCACTTTTTTTGTTAGATCCTTTGAATTTATAAGATTTAGTAAATTCATCAACTTTAATTTCTTTAGAAAAGCTAATATACTTTTCTTTATTGTTGGGTATACAATTTATTTTTTCTTTTGATGTTCCATCTCCTGATAATTTCTTTATGAATAAATGAGAGTCATAACCAGTTAAATTATGAAAAAAGACAGGTATGAATTTTGGAGTTTTAAAATGTAAATTACAATCATTATGAGCAGCTCCTCTATATTTAC